CCACCGAACTATAGAAACTAGTGGGAAATGGCAGAACAGCAAAGGTGGCGCGAAGTGGGAAACCAACTAGCTAGGAACATTATGGAATCACTATTCAATTCATCCTCCTCACATTGTTGCTCAGGGGCACTATTTATAGGCCCCTTCTTACATTACAAAAGACCATCGTGCCCCACGCCTACCCTAAGTCCTAAGCATATTCCTTCGGGTCAGGGGCACTTTGGTCGAATCATTACAATAGTAAAAAAATGTGTTCAACTACCACAGGACACGATGACCTGTCTTTGCTGAGATACCGCCACAAATCTATCACACCCCAAAATTTCTATTTCGGGTTGTGAATAGAAAATACTAAATAAAAAGAATGATTTTTATATTAGGATAAAAATTGTCAACAATAGTTTAAATTTGCATATATTTTTATTAAATAAAATGGTGTTTTTTTAATATTTCTTAATTAATTTGATGGGCTTTCATTGATGTGGCGCTTGCTTGTTGCTTGTTTTGGCGCTTTTGTGTGATAAGTCTTCAAAAACACATTTAGACGCCATTTGATCCTTCCCGGGAATTTTTTGGAGTTTTTCAGAACGTTTTCCTATTTTTCCTAGAGCAAAATCCAATTTTTAAATGCTCTAAAATCCCTTTTCATGGGCTTCAAATACTTTGTTTGGATTCATCACCTCTCAATCTATCTCTAGAAGTTTTCTCTGAATTTTTAGGAGTTTAGAAATATTTTTCAGGGATCTAAAATGATTTTAGATTTTTCTAGAATTATTTTTGAACTAAAAATAAATTTCTAGAATTTCCGAAATTATAAAAATCACTCGATTTTTTTCCTACCTCGAACCCTAACGCACAGGTTCCAGAAGTACGATCGCTTTCTCGATCCACCACTCCAGCGTCCTACATCTATCGCCGAAGTTTCGAAACCCTAGAGCTCCGGCAAAGGTTCGGTGAGCTTTCTCGACCATGGTTTTCATCCCTAGTGAATTCCGTTTCCACTATGAGGTTCGTCTAGATCTCCTCTACACCGGCACGCCCTTCGTTTTGTGAACCCATCGCTGTTTGACCGTTTCCCCACCTTTCTTTCTCATCTCTAACGAACTCACCATGGAAGCTCCTTCTTCCTTGTTTTGCAACAGCTGTGGCCGGCGTCTTCTTGGCCTAGGCCGCCATGGCCGTCTCCCTATCTCGCGCCATCACATGGACCCGCACCCGGCGCCCGTCCCGTGCCTCGGTCACGCGCCCTATGCGATTTCTGCGAGCAGCAGACGCTGCTCGGGCAAGGTAGACCGCCGCCACCCTCGCGTGGTCGTGCGGGCCCACGCCGCCGTGCTGTGCCAAGCCCCTCCCTTCCCTGTGCACAGCAGCAGCAGCAGTGGCCATGGAGGCAACAATCCAGAGGATGGAGATGAGCCAAGGTAGAAGACGAGTTATTTATGTTTCTGCCATTGATCATATAATCCCCGTCGTTCGATCGTTTAGTCTCCGATTCATAAGTTCTTGTTGCCTTAGTTTTGTAACGCCGTGCTCTACGCAGTAGCGGTAATGTTCATCATGTCACTTAATTATGAATTTATTAATCTAAATGCAATTTGATTTATATTTATTTAATAACTTTTAAATTAAAAGCAACCTAGGGTTTAATTCTGTTTTTGTCATGTTGTGGTCGAGCCAACGCATACTACATGTTAGTAGCAACGTATAGCATGCCTCACACCTCTAAATTTTATCAGTTAAATATTAATTTGGTTAATATTTATGCAACCAAGTTTCTAATTAAAAGTAATTTTGGATTTTATTCGGTCTTTTATAAATAGATGTTAATTAATATCAACTTCAATGTGTGTTTATTAATTATAATTATAACATACTTAGTTAAAGCATGAAACATATGATGGTTCGATTAGTTGCTCACACATGTTCTATGTTTTCTAAATTATAAATATTTAAATAACTTAAAAACTATGAAAAGTTTATAAATAAAATATGACTAAGGTTTAATTCCGTCTTTTCTAGTTAAACTATAATTTCACTTAATTGAACTTTAGGACATCTCTATAAAATGTCCATCACCTTAATTTGATAAATAAAATGCATCGAGTGTGTAGTCTATTTTCTCTATTATGTTGCAAACCTTGATAGACGTGTCCTCGGTAACGATAGCTCTGTTCTCGGTTGTTCTTGCGCTCTCGTGATCGTAACAACGAGCCGGGTCGTTTAGTACGCTCACTTCAAGCGTTTCTTGTGAGTGATCTATTGTTCTTAGTTGTGTTTGTTGTCTGTTTGTTCTGCTTGGTTGCTGCGAGTAGAGGAAGGATGGTCCGTTAGCATTGAAGACCAGGAGCTGTGGACCGACAGTTGAAGCAGAAGCTGGAGACTAGAAGATAGAAGCCGAAGACTTCTGAGCAGCTAAACTCTAGGAAAAAGGCAAGTGCAGGCACCATTTGATCATATTCCTCCTATTCATTAAATTCACTTTACTTTCATTGCATGTGTCTAATATTGCAAACCCTAAGGACATGACTAGCCCTATGATTACCTTCTTGTATTTACCTAGGATTTCTATGATTGGGTAGTGTAGTTATGCTTAGCTGCTCCACTCACCACTTCTACATGTTAATGATAGTAATAGTGATTAATGATTACTTTAATGATGATTAATGATTGATGATGATTAATGGCTATTATAATAATAGAGAAGTAAAGATGCTTATAGCATCGTGGTTAAGGTTTTGAAAAGGGGAACGGGTATTGGAGCTTGGCCCGGTTTCCAGGGATGCTCGTGTCCGCCCTCCCTAAGGACCTGTTTGTGGAGCGGCCACCTGGGACATACAGTACAACTTCAAGCCATATGGCTCTGGCTTGACATAGTATCAGGACCTCTACTAGTAGGGTGTAACTTTTCGGGTAGGCGTAAGAAAGTAACCTAGGTAATGAATATTAAGTTGACGGTTAGTCCGGGTTCCATTGCTATGGGCATGGCTGCCGTGCGCCTAGGCCAAACCTTACGAGTTGCATCCTATTAGCTGGAACCTGCAGTCTCGTAGTGAAACCCTGCGTGCTCACCTTGGTAGTGTTTTGAGGAGTCATGACCCCAGGCAAATAGGAATCACGACTTGAAGTGAAAGTGTACACCTCTACAGAGTTAAAACTGATATATCAGCCATGCTCACGGACACGAGCGGCCTAGACTCTCACATGATTAGAATATGACTCACAATTGGACAATGGAGGTGGATTTGTGGATTGAGGTTGCTACCTCGTGCTTTGGCGGGATTGCCATCCCGTGATCTTAATTAGGGTTACTACCTTGGGTTACTATTTGGGGTTGCTACCCCATGGTTAATATTGAGGTTGCTACCTCGGTTATATGAGGATAATAAAAATGTTATACTCATTCTAATAATTAATGATTGGGATCTTTCACTCATCTTAGTGATTAGGTTGCAATAATAAAAGTTTGCCAACTAAAATGCTAATCTACAGTAAACCTGAGTCAGCCTTCCCTTTGAATAAGCCTTGCATGTCATTATACTTTCCGCCTGTACTTGTTGAGTTTGACATGGACTCACCCTTGCTATTTCCCTCACACCCCAGTGTATTGTAAAGTGCTGCTCAGAAGAAGGTCAAAGATGCAGAGGAGTTAACCAAGGTCTATTAGAAGTGCTTGGCGTACGGAGCCCCCAGTCAGCCGTCCCTGAGATGTATGGAGCCTGAAGAGAATATTAGCATCCGTTCCGCGATACTCTGATAGTTGTAAGTGTTAATATAAGTATGCTTTCCGCTATATAACATTGTTTCTGATATTTCTATTCTGTTGTTGCATGTGTGGACTTCCTAGGCACACATATGACTAGTGTTTGGTTCTCTTTGGAAAACCGGGCGTGACAAAATCTCCTTCACCTGGGGGAGGGCTTTGCCTCTTCGAACCCCTCCTTCACAGATCTTGCCTTCGGTCTTCCGCGCTCCGTCATGAGCAAACGATCTCTGATACTCCAAGTGAGCCCCCTCGTCGCCCTTTGGGAAACCTTGGTCATGCCCAGTGAAAACCCGCGCCTTGCAAGGTTAGTCGGATAATTGGATGGCGCTAGGCGAAAAGAGGAGCCCGACGAAGGGGGCGTTCCCCAAGAGTAAGCCCTCGGCATACCAAAATAAGTTTAGCATGTGTTTTGTTTGAGTACCACCCGCCAGAGAGCTGCTCTCCTATGTCCCCCTCCCGGTCACCTGCCAGCGAAGCTCCTTGCCTGCACCGCCTGTGAAATCGCCCACCCACAACAAAGCTCCTCTTCAGCGTCAGCGCTCGCCCGTGGAGCTCCTCGATCAAGTTGTCTGCGGGCCGCCCAGTAGCGGCACAACGACAGTTGTGTGCCTTGCACTCGTCGATGCATGCATCGGGCCACCGCCGGTGCGTCCAAACTCTACGCCACGTCTACGAGGGATGAGGCCGAATGTTTGTTTCGTGGGGATGGGGTGTTCTTGAATCTAATGGCGTATTCCCCTAGAGGATGATCCCATCCAACTATCCAAAACCAAACACATAAAAAAAAGGAGGATTGACCTAGTGTGTCCTCCTTCGTCCCCAAAACCAAATACATGTTTATGGACCGTCTATGTATGTAACTTTTGGGGTATGACAAGTTTCATAAAGTGCTATAACTACTTTTAAAATCTCGGTATTATCATTTACCATTTTTTCAGCATAGTCATTATTCTATCTAGACTTAAAGAAATTGTGAAATGCATATTGATGAGATTCATATCACATAAATTTAAACAAGCATTCAAATATTCAGATATTTCAAAAGGAGCTCCAATAGTCCAACATGAATTCTAATTTGGTACCCTAAATTTGAGGGGGCTAATGCAACAAATATGAAGGTAACATACAGCTGATTTTGCGATGGATATTGTAGAGACACCATTTAGATATTGCAATCTTGATCCCCAAATACAGGATTCCAGATAAGCTTGAAATAAATCTCCAAAAACACTGGACATTATTCCTGAAGAAGTCCTGCGGCACGCTTGGCCGCTCGATCCTTTTGGTACAGGTCGACCAGGTGTTTTGCTGTGCGACAATTGCGAGACCAATGGCCTGTACATCCACACCTGTAGCAAATCTGTTTCTGCTCCTTCTCCCTCTCCTCTTTTGCCTTCTGATAGAGGACCACGAGGTGTTTTGCTGTGTGACAATTTTCGGCCACATGGCCCTTGCATCCGCACTTGTCGCAAAATAGGGGTCGCTTTGCTTTGTAGCTGTCCTTGTTTCTGTTGTTGTCGTCTCCCCGTAGACCTCTTGCAGCTGGAACGGGAAGTCCACCGCCTCTCCCCTCGCCGGGCCTGCTCCACGACCTCTGAGCAGCAGCGTCCTGTGCTTCAGGCACAGGTCGAGAGCCCGTCGGACGGCCGCCATGATTTTTGGAAGACCATTCCTGCTGTTTTTTCGGTGAAGAAATCGGCTCAAGCCTGGGCATGTGCTGCTGCTGGAGCACATGCTTGCCGGCATTCGGGGGAGCACTGGCCTCCGAAGGGCCAGTGTGTTCCCGTCTGCTAGCCGGCACAGGGTTAGTGGCGCTTAGGTCACGGCGTGCCGGTGCCGGTGCCGCGCCAGCGGCAGGGGCACCTTGTCGGACAAGGGCGCTATCACGCGCGCTGTCCGTCTGCGTGCCGGCGCCGGCGCTCACGCGGGACGACTGAGCAAGACCGTTGCCTCCACGTGGAGGAACTGGAACTGGACTAACGTCACTGGCGTCCTGCTGGTAGCCAGCTGCCGGTGGTGCACGTCGAGTGGCGTGCGAGGCCGGGGCGTCGCGCGTGGCAGCGGGCACGCCGGCGCTCTTCGGGGCCGGGGCGTCGCGCGTAGCAGCGGGCACGCCGGCGCTCTTCGGGGCCGGGGCGCTAGCCTGCACAAGGTTTGGGGTGTCGCACGTCACGGTGGGTGAGCTTTTGCACACGGTGGCGCCCGCAGCGGCGGCTACCTGCGGCATCGCGGTGGCCGCGCCAGCGCCGGCCTGTGCATGGCCATTGCTGCAGCCTAGAGGAAGTGTACTTACCTTGTCGGCCTCCACGGACTTGATGGTGACTTGTGTTTGATATGCCTTCTTGGCTAACATTGACGCGTCCTCTTTGAGCACCTGCGGCATCTCCTTCGGTTGCACTATCTCCAACTCCACGTCGGGCACCTCATAGTTGGGAGGCACCGCCTGGCCAGTGGCGTTGGAGGCGTGGGGCATCGTGGCAGGGGGCTCGTGCCGAATTCTGCCGGAGTTGCTGGGATCTGCATCCACCTGCGCTGTGGCCGTGACGGCCGTGATCGGGAGGCCACTGCCGCTGCCGGGGTCAGGGCGACGCGGGCTCGCCTTGGCCTCACCACCATCGTGAGAGGGGATGTTCTTGGTGGTGAGCACCGAGTCGTGTGACTCGTGTCGTCGTTCAACCTCACGCACGGCGTGTTGTGTCTGCACCTTCTTTCTGGCAGCCTCCACCTCCAGACTGGACACCTTCCGCCTCTTGCTCTTCTCCAGATCCCTGCCGGTGACAGCCGCCGCGGACGCTGCGGAGCCAGAGGCTGGGACGGGACGGGGCGGACGACTTCGTTGCAGGCCAGCGGAGTTCGGGACGCCAGCAGCCCGCACACGGTTCGTGGCATCGCGCGCCGTGGCAGGTCCAGGGAGCTCCGGCTGCAGGACGGCGACCTTGCTGACGGGATTCACCTGCACTGTGGCGTCCGTGCTCGCGTTCGCCTCCGCCACGAGGCCATTGTCGTCGTCGCCTTGAGGAACCGGCATCAACTCCTTGCCGTTGCTGTCGTGCGACGGAGACGTCTTCTCCTTCACCGCTGCATCCTCCTGGATCTTTCGCCACCGCATCTCTGATGCTTGGCCCTCCTGTGTATGCGTCGTACGCTTCGCCACGTGGACTTCCTCCGCCTCCTGAATAGACGCCTTCCTTTTCCTTCCCTCCTCGACGTGGACACCAGTGGCAGCCGGCGCGGAGGCAGCGACGACGGCGGGACCGCCTAGCACAGGAGGCTGAGGTTGGACGGGTTTCGACTCCACGTGGGCCCGAAGCTCGTGGACGTCGCCGTCTGTGGCCGGTAGCACCAAGACGGCGGGAAGAACAGGGGCAGGGGCAGGCCGTGTTTTTTCAAGGACCCGCACCTGGCCGACGTCGCCGGCGACGGTGACGGGCAGCAGGGACATTGCGGCCGGAGCGGGGGCAAGCGCTGGGGCAGGCTTGGACTTTTCGAGTTCCCGGAGCTGGCGGTGTCGGAGGGTAACGGAGTACTGGAGGGAGGAGATGTACGTGTCGAGATCCTCCCAGCGGAAGGGGAGCGGCGTCGGGGAGCAGGCGGCCAGGCGGTCGAAGGTCTCCCGCAGACGCCACTTCTTGGCCGGGAGCGCGGCGGCGACCGCCTCCAGCTCCCACATCTCCATGACCGCCGGCGGGCGGTCGAGATCCGGAAGCGACAGGAGAGCGGGAGGGTACAGGGGCAGTGGAGCGGCGGCGGCGGCGTTTCGCGAGTCCATTGCGCACTCCGTGATTAGGGCATCTCCAATAGTATTTAATATTCTCTTCCTTAAAAATATGAAATTTTACAACTTCTAAAAAAAAAAAAGTACCGGAACGAGTAAAGAAGTACATCTTCAAAAGTTTCTATTAATCTACTCCTAAAATATAGAAGACAATTTTATATCAGAAATCATATACTATTTCTAAATTATCCTAACCATTTTTATATATTCTTTCTCTTCTGTACATTTGCATCAGAAACCATTTTCTACTCTTTATTTTCTCCACGCCCTTCCACCTTTAGATTAGCGCACAAACACACGCGGGAGAGAGAAAATACGCGCGACTCCACGACTCGGAAGAGCGTAACTTTACGTAGAACATGGTGACTTTTCCCAAGTTCTAAAATATTAAGAGAATAGATTAGAAGTTGTGGAGAAGATATTTTTTTCTCATCTTATTAGAAACTAAGGAATAGGAAAGAATAATTTAGGAAATTCTTGCAGATGCTCTTACATCCGTTTCGAAGCGTGGGAAGAAAGCGAAAGATGCCAGCGTTTTATAGAGCGCGGACGAGAAGAGTCCGAGCGGGCCGAGAACAGAGTTGGGCCGTAATTTTTGGATAGAAGTCCTTGATTTCCCGTTGGAATCCTTTCGGATTCTATAGCGGCGAGAGAATTTCGCATGGTTTATTTGTTAGTTAAAATAATATAACATTGAAGCTTTAAAAGATAGAAATAAGATTGAAAGTAAAAATAAATAAGACCCTCTAATGCAAGATTTTTTCCTCGGTCCTGTGTTCTTTCTATAAAAATAAACTGATTCATATGATTACATACAGAAATGTATAGAAATCACTCTAATTTCACAGTAAAAACACAATAATAGAGAAAAAATTTGCACTTCAAATAGAGTCAACTACCTCCGTAGTAGAAAGAATGTTGTTCTAGATATAGAAATAGTCAAATTTTCTTAGTTTGGCTAGGTTTATAAAAAAAATATTATCAACATTTGTATCTCTAAATAGATTAATTATAAATATATCCATAATCCATCTAATGATACTTATTACACGTCATAAATATTAATATTTTTTATATATTTGGTCAAACTTGAGACACGTTGACTCTTCGAAAAATGAAAATAACATTTTTTTAAACCAAGTCTTATAAAATTCCTGCTTTCCAAATTCCAAAGGTCCCTAAAAGGCTAAAACGTCTAAAGAAGACGTATAGCTTTCTAAGGGAATATTGCGATATTCCTGAGCTCCAAATCCTGGCAACGGTTGCAATGTATGACAACAATTCATTACTGAATTTAAATATCATTAGTGACTACAATTTATTACTGAATTTAAATACTATTAGATATGTTTGGATGCTTAGAATTGAACTCATTTTAATAATCATAATTTAGACACATGTTAATTAAGCTAACATGGTTGTATATGGATTATATTTTATTGTTGGCTATACGAGAGATACTTATGTGTTGCATTTCTACCGTAGGGGAGCGAGTTGAAGAGTATGTTATAAGTTGTAAAGTAGAAACATAGAATGGTGATTATAGAATCAATTTTCATCTCCTACCCTATGAATTTGAGATAAGTTTATATCTGAACTTTGAAAAGTGGTGGAATATCGAATTCCAAGCCAAATAGTCTAATTTATTAAGTAGATTTCAATTCCTTAAAATGAAAGGATGCAAACGGCCCCTTAGTATAACTTTGAAGAGTTTGTTGTGTGTCATATATTCAAAAATAACAACAGATTGTCGATGTTATGGAGATTTGTTCATCAGGTCAAGATTAAAAAAAATGTTGTCTTATATTTATAACTTGTTCTGGATGTTCTGATGGCATGATTTTTCAATGCATCTAACCTAGTCCTAAGCAAAATGAACGCTTCGCGCTTTTAAAAGTGTGTGTATATATATGGTTGTGTTTGGTTGGCAGATTGGTACCAGCGACTAGAACGGAAATGGGTTGCAGGGATTCGATGCTAGGATCACTTAACACACTTCGGATCCCTAGTTTGTTGTGGCTTCAACTTCCCTAAAGTGTTGTTCATTTTGGGATGGATGGGGAAGAAGAGCTCATTGCTACAATATCGAACAACACTGGACACTGCTATGGCCTACGGTAAATTTGACGGGGACCAAGGCAGCCTTTGTTCTCCGGTCTCCGCCTGGCATCGTGCGAGCAAGCGGCGCTCCTCCGCATACCCACGCCACCACGCGGCGGCAGCAGCAGAGAGTCAAGCGGCCGGTGCAGACCCCGCGTGAGCACTCCGGTATCCGGATGCAAAGCAGCTGGCCAGCTGGGTCCGCGTCTCGTGAGCGTACAGGAGAATCACGCGACAGGGAGTTCGGGCGTAATCAGATAACGCCCACAAATGAGCAGCATCTTCCAGTGTTGCGCAGACCCGAGTCGATTACGTCTCCGCTCAACCAAAATTGATTTCAACCAAACATCTTTCAATGTTGTATAGGCCCGTATCGGGGCCCTCGCACTGTTTAGTAGCAGCGTCCACACGTCCGGCCGCTCGCTCACGGCTGGCTGCTGCACGCCCGTGCTAGACGGGAACGCCCGCGTCGCTCCCCGCGCTTCCCCTCCGCTTCCTGCGCCCGAAGCCGCGCGACGTTCCATCCGCTTCCCACATGCACGGCGCCCCAGCAGACGCATCTGGTGGTTGTGTTAGTATAACATCCAATCTATTTTTAAAGCATCCAGATAAAATATTTGCAACATGCGTCTCAAGACAGATGGAACACTTCGAAACATGCGTCTAAAATACTTACAAAAACACCTGAAAACACTTGAGAAACCATTGCAAAACATATGCAACATCCAGATAAAAACACTTGCAACATATATGTGAAACATGTGCAATAAAAACACTTGCAACATACGTCTGAAAAAAAACAGATTAAACATTGAGAACAGAAGCATGCAACATACGTGTACAACCATTGCAACATATGCAACATTCCGATCTACTTTTGCAATATCCCTATGAAACACTTACAACATACCTATGAAACATCTGAAACACTAGGAAGATAAGGCTTGCAACATGTGTTTTTCGTCCTTCTTCCGTATGACGTAGCGCAGAGCGGGGGACCGGCCAGCCGACGGCCGATGATGGTGGCATGGCCTGGCAACGGCAAGCTATGCCTGCACCTAGCCTGGGCCTAGCCAGCGACGCCCCCCTCTCCTGGTCGCCTGGCCAGGGTGCGGCGGAAGGATGAGCACGGCATTGGCGCGCCTAGGACGGAGGCATCGCAAGGGATGAGGGCACCGTAGGGGATAGCGACGGGGGCGCGCCAGAGTGGGCTGCGCCGTAGGATGGACAGGCCGTTGGGGATGGCGGTGGCGGCACAGCGGAGCGGGCAGGCGGACAGCCGCACGACAAACGAGCGTGCAGTTGGGAGACGAGTGCCGCGTGTAGTGATTTGATTTTTTTTTCAGGTCCGAATGGACGGAAGCCTGAGCGTGAGCATTAGCGTTTACACATCGTGCTCATCGAGTAATTTCAGTGTTGTATGGGCCCGCTCAAGTAATAAACAAGTAATTTCAAAAAAACATCAAGTAATTTTCAGTGATGTATGGGTCCGCAATTTCAGTGTTCTATAGGCAGGTATCGTGTCTCCGTTGTGAGATTACCTCCCTGCTCAACCAAACATCAGTTGATGAATGAAAGAGCCCACTGCAGAGAAATGCATCGTGTAGTGATTACCTCCCCGCTCGAGGACATGTACAATAATGTTGTGACTAGTGTTTAAATAAATGATGGTAACATAGATTACTTCTCGATTAAAATAGGACTTCATCAAGGGTCAGCCTTAAGCCTATATCTCTTTGTCTCGGTAATGGATGAGGTTACCAGGAACATATAAGGGGATATCTCTTGGTGTATGTTATTCGCTGATGATGTAGTGTTAGTGGACGAAAGTCAGACGGGAGTAAATAGAAAACTAGAGTTATAACGACAGACCCTTAAGTCTAAAGGTTTTAGATTGAGCAGAACTAAAACCGAATATATGAGATGCGACTTTGACGGAGTTATACAGGAGAGAGATGTGAGTTTGGAAGGTCAAGTAGTGCCTAAGAATGATACATTTCGGTATCTGGGATCGATGCTACAGAGGGATGGAGGTATTGATGCAGACGTTAGCCATAGAATCAAAGCAGGGTGGATCAAGTGACGATAAGCTTCTGACATTCTCTGTGACAAGAGGGTACTACAAAAGTTAAAAGGCAGGTTCTATAGAACGACGATTAGACCGGCTATGTTGTATAGGGCAGAATGTTGGTCTACAAAGATTCGATATATTCAACAACTGAGTATTACAGAAATATGTATGTTGCGATGGATTTACGGTCACACAAGAATGAACCGAGTTCAGAACAATGATATACGTGATCGCCTAGAGGTAGCACCAATTAAAGAAAAATTTATCCAACATCGGTTGAGGTGGTTTAGTCATGTCCAAAGAAAACCTCCAGAGGCACCAGTGCATCGTAAAATCCTAAGCCGAGCTAATAATATAAAAAGAGGTAGAGAAAGATCGAAATTGATATAGAAGGAGGCAATAAAAAATCTATGTTTGAATAAGATCGTGTACTGACTACGTTGTTTTAACCACTACGGGGGAAAACGATGAACCAAAACACACCTAAATATGTACTCCATACAAGTATAAGGTTAATAAAAGCTCGTAGAAAAATCAAATTCGTGTAAATTGCACATCTTTGCGCACTGACACCTCTACAAGAGATCTGGGTAACCCATTTCCAATAGAATTAAAGCGATTAACCATATTGAGAAGATATATTCAGATGCAAAACACTTAATTATCAGCATTCAGACACAAAAGAGAACTACGTTCATGCATAACGATGTTCAGCACAAGATAGGCAGGTTCACATAAGGCACTATAATACCCCAAACACTTGAAATTCATGTTCCACAAAGCAAAATAATAAGATAGGCTAAGCAAAAACGTCTGGATCCGCATTCCCACTGTGGATTCCACTTAAGCAACGGCCTCGAGGAAAGCTTGCCCAGGAGCACGCTTCTCAAGTCTGCCGTGGTTACCGAGCAGCTGTAAAAGGTCAAGAGAAGATGAAATTAGATTAAGCTCTGACTAATATACTACCCTCAGATGAGGGAACAAACATTAGGAGAATGCTCAGAGATGCAAGGTAAAAACTGTGGATTAGCATAGATGACTATGTCGTCCAAAATAAGCTTGCTTCTAGAAATGAGGCCAAAGAAAAGCCTACATCTCAAAATATGCATTATCCAAGGGATACCGAAACTAATTCAGAGACATATCTACACGAAAATGTGGCAAGTAGAGTTATAGCTGTACCTTTGCGTTGACACCATCAGGAACAATTCTACCCTCACTCTTGTACTTCAGGTAGTCAGCGCGGCTGAACTTAGTGAATCCCCTGAACAAGATAGTGCAAATTAAAAACAATTATACAAAATAATTGATGCAAGCTATTAGAATATGACATTTTTGTTCCACATCATCAATGAAGTAATTATGTACTCACCACTTTCGGCTCTCAATGATCTTTTGGCGGCCAGGGAACTTGAACTTGGCACGACGCAGGGCTTCGCTAGCATGGGCAGCATTGTTGTCCTTGCAGCGCACAGAAAGAAGGACCTGACCAATGTCCACCCTAGCACAGGTACCCTGAGGCTTGCCAAAGGCACCCCTCATTCCAGTCTGGAGCCTATCAGCCCCGGCACACGAAAGCATCTTGTTGATACGCAGGACATGGAACGGGTGAACCCGGACCCTAAGGTGGAAGGCATCCTTTCCGGCAGACTTGGTCATGTACTTGTTGCAGGCGATACGGGCAGCCTCAAGAGCCTCACTGGAGACATTCTCCTTCTCCCAAGAGACAAGATGCACACAGTAGGGGAACTCATCAACACCCTTCCTCTTCATCCCAACATCGTAGATCCTGATCTTGGGGTCAGGGACACCACGGCAGTACCTGGACTTGGGGTATGGCTTGTTCTTGATCTGGCGATAGCATCTCGCAGGCCCTAACCAATGTTTCAGAAACATGAAAGCTCGTTATTATCGATGAACATAATAATAATGCACTGCAGTAATAAAAATATTCAGTGCAAACAAATATAAACTTGACTAGATGCAAAACAGAACATTAATTTCCACAGAATATACAACAGTTCATGCTTGAAGCACGCGATTGAGCATATGCAATGTAATCAGATTGGTCCTACAGTGTTTTTTCATAGCATACAATAGAATACTAAATGTATTCGTTAAAAATCCATGGAACATAACTAGTAACCCCATTTTGACAGGTAAAACAACTGTATAAGGTCTACAAGCATTAACCCTAACCAAAACAAGATTTTCCAATTATGAACAGCAAATCAACTGATGCCATGTTCTACCAGCAGTCAGACAGGTCCTAAACTATGAGCGTGTTACTTCGGATCATATCACCCGCCCAGAACACAAGAAATCTGGGTCAATATATTAGTAGCAAGGCCCCAGCGCTTCTCATCTCTATCCGATATACTAGGCAACCACAACTTCGCGAGTTTCACAAATCAACTCAGCAGACAAACAATACTAAGCCCGTGCAGTAAGCACCACGTATTCATCAAAAGTATCAACCCGATTTCGTGTGGATCTAGTCTAGTCGAGATTTGCACCGGACGAAAAAGGGAGAGCCCTATTCAGACAAGCGGTTGCAACAAACATCGCAGTAGAAGCGTACGAAGGAGCTGAATCGAAAACGCGAACTTACTTCTGCCCATGGCGACGGCGGCTGAGGGAGGCAGACGGCGGCGGCGGCGGCGGGGCGAAGAGAAGGGGCGCGGCTAGGGCTTGGAGGGGAGCGAAGGGATACTTTATATAGAGAGTGCGGACGCGGAATGGAGCCGTGCCGCCGTGGGTTTTGTGCGTCACGGCATGCGACTGGCAGATGCTGGGCCTTGGGAGCAGTGGACCGAAAAAAACCAAGAGAGCCCAGTAAAATTGGAGACTCCTTTGTTTCAAGGTCAGCCCATGCGTCATCCGGAGTAACCAGGGAGAGGGCCCAGATTACAATTGACCTGTGAAGTTCCCACGCTAAGATCTTGAGTACACAAAAATGGGATGTCCAACTTAGGCAATTCGGATATGGAGTGCATGGAGACAAGAACATTTTATAGTAAAATTGTTGCATACTTGAGAGCTTTTTCACTATCTTGTCGGTGTATATCAAGAATCAATACTAAATTGCAGGTTTGTACTAAAGTTCATGACTTTGTTGTGAGAGAAAAATAATGTACCATGACTTATAAGCCAGGCTGATAAGTTCAAGTGAACATGCAAGAGTAGCTCAATTATGCATGGACTGGCAATTATTTCAATAACCTGGTCAAACATTCTCTACCCATGCCTACAAGATACATAGTACATAGTAAAAAAAATCTAGGAAAGCCAAAATGTTTTATAATTTTTGTAGTTTAAAATCAAAGTAGTTCATGTAGGCTATATAATCTAATCTTTTTCAAATATGCTATGACAAATATTGCGAAGATCACTCAAAGGTCGTTAACATTGTTTTTCAGTTGTGGCACAACGACATGCATGCAAATCACAATTACCATGGTGTTATATTTGGTTCCCGCATAAATCACAATTATTATGATGTTATTTTTTGTTTCCATTGCAACACATGCTAGTATTAAAATATATATACAATTTTCTTTGTCAAGTTACCAAAAACAAAAGACCGGCATGAACAGGGGGAGGATGCGCTTCCTACCCCACGCGTAAAAGCTATGAGTTGAGTGGATTTTTAGCAACTTGCTATTTTAAAGAGTTTTTCACCAATTGTTAGAGATGTCTTTTTTACTTAGCTTTTTCAAAAAAAAATGAATTCAGGAGTTCACTTACAAACATTCGAAACTCTAGATGTTTCATATAATTAACTTGCTAAACTAATAAGTTTAGCGAGTTAACAAAATAAGTAGCAACCTCAATTTATTTTTCCTCTCTGATAGTTTTCTATATTAGCTTCCTAAACAATTTTGTATTGGGAACCTCAAACTATATCTAACCAATCAAACCTCTTTCAATAATTTCTTTTTCTCTTAATGTCTTCTCACCGAATCATTTATTTTCTTATAATTTACTTATACGTTAAATTTACTCTAATCTCTTCGAGAGAAATGTCGGGTGGGGAGGAGATATGGAGTTCCTTTTGATTGTGGAACTTACGAGTTGGAGAGGATATTTTAACAACTTTTTATTTTTATTAAGGAGCTCTTTTACCAAATTGTTGGAGTGGACTTTTCCTTTTCGCTAAAGGATTAAAATAGGGAGTTGTTTTACAAAACTTCTCGAGATGCTCTTAAGCCCGTTTGGATCTTCAAAGAATTATGGAAATCCAAATAGTAGATAGTGATTTTGAGAATCTGGATTTTGGATAATGATAACAATCCAATATATTTGGATTCTCGAATTATATTCTTTACCAAATTGTTGGAGGGTCTCTTTTTTTTTCTTTTGGCCTTACAAAAGACCATGAGCACCACCACCGTAATTATCTGGAATGCACCTAAGATAACCTCAAAACAGTAATAGTCACATAACTCGAACAAACAACTTTACCCTAGAAAATTTACCTTGACATGTTGCGATGTTGTTGGTGATGACATTCGTCTGCTTTTTTAGCACTACTTCAAAGAAGATTTTTTCAAATAAGGAACAATATTTCCTCTCACAACAAATCGCAGAAAGTATCGAATATGACCAAATTTCAAACAAACGAACAGGGATATTTTGCCATGACTTTTTCCTTTTTTCTTACGGAGAAGAGACATGGTTCCACTATTTTTTTGAGCAACCGGAGAAGACATGGAATGGGTGGACTTTGTGAGCTTTGAGATGGGTTGCTTTTATGAAGCGAATGGGCTGACAACACGATTCGTTTCCACACGACGGCCCATTGGACCATCAGACACCGGATTCGAACCTCCCAAGCGGCCCAGCTCCCCTGCCGCCGCCGATCTCTCGTATCCTCTGCGTCAACTACAACTCCCCATGTTCGCTTATTACACGTGTGTGAAGAAACAAGCAGAAAGAGTGTAGTAAGACACAGCTGCAGAGCTACTGTGTATGGGGTGTGGGCATCACGATCACGAAGGATGGTAAGTAAGCTTGGTGCGCGCATGCACAGTAAGTTGGGGCTGGCACGGACGTGCGACTGTGATGCGCGTAACATGCTCGGACCGTGATGCTAACTTTTTTGGCTAGGCGTACATGTCATACGCTAGCACCATCTATCTAGCATATAGGGGCGATAGATGGCGACGTCAAGCTGATGGCTCCACGATTTTTTAATCCGCTATTTGTGTTTTTGCAAAGTGTGCATGCCGCACACAAACTACATCAACTTGATCTGGGTAGGGTGTGCTTACAAGAGGAACACGCTACCCTCTGGGCTTTCGCCTTAATGACGCGGAGCCCCCCTGCTAAGAATTACGATGTGGCACTAAAGTATACATTATTAATTAATTCTCTATACCATGTGGAACAAACGTTCTAGCTTCCCCACGTGACAGCCCGTTTTGTTCCGGCCCGCATCCGCTTCCGATCCGCGACCATTCGTATCTCTCTTCCTCCTTGCCACCCATTTGAGATTCAGATTTTAGGATCGTATACGTCGAATTAAGTTGCAATACGAGTAGGATTTAGGCAGATTGATTCTTGTCTTACAATTGGAGTTCGAACCGCAGGGCTCCAAGGATCAGGAGAAGAAGAAATCAAGCTAGCAAGAAAGGTCGGAGGATGCCAAAGCGGCGGTACGATTTCGATCAGCGTGGCGGAGGCCGTAAGGCAAGAAGAAGGCCGATGTGGCGGTGGCACCTCTATCTCATCTTGGACGACTGGTCGCTGGGGTACTCCATCCGCAAGATCGACCCTGGCGGCTGCCTACGGATGCTACGCCGGCCTACAGCCTGTGTCGAGACCCATCCTCCAACTGGAGGGACCGAACGCGTTGCACATGTCCATGTATTTCGCGGCCTCCTTGGGCTCCTCAAAGATCATGGCCATGCATCCCAAGCTGAACGACGCCCGCTGCTTCGACGTCCGCTCGAGGTCCCTCGTCTACGACCCTCGGCCCGACGACGGCGAGGTTCGAAATCCATGGAACAACCGCCATGTCTTCCCTGTCTTCATCCCAATCGGTGACAGGCTCTGCGCTTTGTGGGGGCGCTCCATCCAGCTCCTCGAACCGCCGCCGCAGCAGCAGGAGTCCGCCGGTGGCGACCTATGGTCGTGGCGCAAGCTCCACGCGGAACTGCTCTTCGATTCCAGCTCACGTCACCTCCTACGTCATGCACCCGGCGACGCAGGCGAACCATCTTTGTAACTTTCAAGAAGAAAATCTTTGCCCCTCAAGCGTGGCGGGGGCGGACTCAGAGCCCACACCTTCGCCTCGGCGTGCATGAGAGCACGAATGCAAGTTGAGAGGCGAAATTTGATGGCGGCCGCTTTCGGCATGGCTCCTACGCTTCGTCAATGAAGCTCAATGCCTGGGTAGGGCTCTCTGAACCCTATAACAGCATTGGCCACCTCTACGCCAGCTCCGTGGTGACCCCTGGTTCTAGAAGCTCGGTGTGGCAGAACTATCCAAATTATATTAGCCCACGTATATCCATTATTGTCCTAAAGACCTCTGACTGCTGTACACGAAAGCTAGATAATTCAGTAGTCTATCGGGTGTTCTCGGGAAACCCTGAATCATCCATATTTTACAACTCATACAAGATCAACAATGGAGTCACCACAATGTTACAATATTGATACAAAAATTTCATACATCGGAGTTGTGGAAGAATTACAATATTAGATTATAAAACATGTTATGTACCTTTAAGTAACACTTGAGTTCCAAAATATTGAGTAGAACTTTGAAAGTAACTTAAGTGAAGTACCAAAGATAGAAGGGACAACTAGATCATGTCGAGCCCACCGACATAACATTGATTAGCAGCACAAGTCAGAACCTGCAACAGGGGTTAACAAACCCTGAGTACTTGAGGGTACTCAACAAGACTTACCCCGACTAAAAAAAAGACTCCAAGGGTATGAAAGCTTAAGGGAAGGTTTGAAGCAAGAGTAACGTTTGCAGAAAAGCTTACTATGAGTGAATCCTTACTTTTAATGTTTTAGCTTCGTACCAGTTTGCACCTGATCTAGTTCAATCACTTCATTAAACATCTCATCTCATCTTATATCATATCCACAAGTAACTATGTTCCATTGATTTACTACGATGCAGAGCAGTGATCAAGTTTCTCAGTATCCGGGAAAGACGGCGATTCGAATCGATGTACATCCAGCTGGAGTAAACCTTAACCAGCATGATATATGCAGGTTCTGGACCTACATATATCAACCAGTCCCTTGGATCCTCCAAAACATGAACAGGTTCACGCCACTCGAGAGCACAAGATGCTCACACCGCCTACCCTATTTTGCTACAAAAGCCGGCTAACGGGGTATTCTGCGTGTGAGAACATTATAATGGAGAAGGTCATAGCCAAAATAGGATTCGTTTTGGCTAGAGCGCCCAAATCCGCTATATATTTGACACGGGTTTGCCATAATGCTGGAACTATGGCGAATGCATCTATCGTCATTAATGCATAAATAAATATACCAATTAGTAGTGATTGAATTCCTTCTATGGTTCCACATGAGAAACCAGTACGAATATAACCTACATGTCCAATCGAACTATGAGCTAGAGGTCGTTTTA